TTCCATTATGCTTAGCTAAAGGAAAAGATCCCTCTTTAAGAACTTTGTTTCTGAAAACAATGTTTTAACCTTCCTGTAGTCTTCTTAAACAGTTTTCTGCAAAGTACCCATTAAAAGGAACTGTGTCCTCCAATCACACAGTGATAATTAGCCATCGGGCCCCACTGAGAATCCCCTACATTTAACTTACAAACACCCCCTGACACTCCTCCTCCCTTCCCATCAGCTTCCCTCTGCCAGCCATACAGGGCATTTCTGCTTCTGCTCGGAGGGCTATCATACACCCTGGTGCAAAAGGATCAAATGCAAACCCCCAGAAGCAATGAAGGAGTGCAGGGTTTCTGATCCCAGGCTTCTGATTTTAGGGGTGTGAACGACTTCTCATCTCCTGCTGCAGCAATCAGGCTCCTCTGAGCCACTCCGCTGGGCAGCTCAGACACCCCAGATCCCTCCTCCCTGCTTAATCAAACCACAAACACCCTGTCAGCGGGTGCATTCATTCCCTTAATCTGCAACATGTGTGGGAGGGCAGATTCAACACTGTAGTCACGACACCTCTGCTCAGGCCTGATTTAGAAAGCTACCACACGCAGCCCATCAGATCCTTTCCTGGTTGTCCTCTTCCAGCTGCCAGCAGCAAAGCAGTAATATTTCTGGGTTTGCTTAGAGCACCACCTCATTGCCCGAGTGTTCCCTGGTGGGTTCACACAGCTAAATTCACTGCCAGAAGCACTCAGTGGCCCAAGCCCTGAAATCCCACTGTTTCCCAAGAGCCTGCCTAACCCTTGCCTGAACAGGAACCATAGGGCCTCCAGGGAAAAGAGCAGGGATGAGGGGCTTCGCATTAAAAGGGATGGTCATGACAGCAAGCTGTCAGAGATCATGTTTCCTCCAGCCTGACCTCAAAGTACTTTGCTCACTACGGTTCGGGTTAAGTGGTATTAAGACTTACCCAACAAACATAAGCCAGATATGGTCCCAGGGCTCCTTTCAGATGGCTGCTGAGCTGTAGGTATCTGGCCTAATAGGGTAATGATACATAGCTCCTACATTATCTACACAGGCTCCCCAATAATCAAGTTATACCTCAGATCCATCAGCTTCCTCCACTTAATAAGCTCTACCCCAACCTTACATGAAAAGGAAAAGGGGCATGAGAGGATTCCCATGAGGAAGATTCAGGTATTTGCCTCCATGTTGTGGTTCTGACCCCTGCCCTGTGACTCTGAGAAGGATTTGAGACAGTCCCATCTCCTGCTCTTCTCCCACCACCTGTGCATTTCCTGCTGTACGCTGTAGGGTGTTGTCATCCCCTGTCCTAAACAGCTGGACTCTTGTCAATTTTGCTTTTTACAAAGGACTCTTCTTTTATCAAGGATGTGGCACCCAGCTGAGAGGAACAGCAGGTACCTGCAGCCATGTGAGAATCCAGTGACTGCTCTGCTGCCAAGCAGTTCTGTATTCACATCTTCACCCTTGTGCCTCACTCTGTGACACTGGTTTGCTGGGTAAATATGGAAAAAGACCTCTTACACATGCTTCCCTAGATAGCACATTAGTGTAGCAGCAACCCTCGTTCAGCTTTTACTTCAGAGTGTCCAGAAAGAAGCCACTTCACCCAGTGGGTACCCTCAGCTTCACAGGTACACACAAAAAGTGCATACCGCTGGGCCCGTACACATACACATGCAGAGACACCACACTCGTGATGTCTTGTGTCTGGAAGAACCATCTTGATATTATCACTGTTAATAGTGATGGGAAGTCAAAAGAGAAAGGCCTAGATCCTCCCTCCTTATCTTTTTTATATTTCTGTGTGCAGAAAGTTCTGATTTGTATGAAGGCAATAACAATATTCTTTCAAAAATCCCCATTAAAAATAAAATCTTCCTCAAAAATCCATAAAAGAGTTTTTCAAAACAGCTTTGACTCATTTGGGAAACATCCAGTGTTTTGATTTGAAAGTGTTTGATAGAATTAAGTCAAATCACCCTTCGTAATACTGAGTTATCTTCAGTAATATTCTCTACAGGTCTCGAATTAAGTTACTTTTTCTTTTTACTGGACTCCAATTCAGCAAAGTATTTACTATTTGATTTCAGGTGTAGTAAATCTCTTTCATTCTAATGTGTCAGTTTAAAATAACTCTAAGCATTGTACCCACAAACACACCTTTAAAGTGTACCCTTACTCTGCAACCCCTGTTCACTTCCTTTCACGGGCATCTCTTGGTCACAGAAATCTTTTATTCCAGCACATCTCCTGAGAAGGCTAAACATAGATGAGCATAGTTATTTGAATAGATGGAGAACAAAATCTTCAGAAAATTGCACAGCACAAGCAAAACTTTTTTTTTTTCTTTTTTACTTCTTATTTTATTATATCATAATACTCAGAACAGCAGAAAGAGGGATTAATGTAAAAGTCATAGAAAAGAAACCCAGAACACAGAGCTAGATTTGGTACTGATACTAAGTATGGAGCCACTGATAGTTGAAAAGCTTAATAATTGAAGATGGAGAAAAATCCCCCCTGTAAGTGGTGTAGAAACATGAAAGAAGGGAATAAATGTAATTAAGAAGTGGAAATAAAAGCCAAAGTCAAGTAAATGAGTCAACTGAAAAGTGGGAGTGAATCATTAGAATTATGAGGCAATCTTTGCTGAATTATTTGCTGTTTATTTTGCAACCTCACAGCAAACCATCTTCACCAACCCTTGCCTTTACACATTACAAAGAAGCAGTACTTGGCTACCTGATATGTCCTCTTCTACATCACTACCTGATAGGCCCTCTTCTTGGTTTATAAAACCAGATTTAACTTAGTGAAAATGAGAATAGAGAGGACCAAAGTGAAACCCACAGAAAATTATTTATATATAGCACACTTTCTTTATTTTTATCTTGGCATTTTGATAACACGTGAGAGATAAACCTTTCCATGCTTATAAAACCCATTGTAGCTTGTATTTTGAAAGAACAAAAGCAGTTTGTTAGGTGTACTTGAAATAAATTAAGTTTTATTTTCTTATTTTTATCTCTTATTTTCTGATGAGATCAGACAGAAGCTTTGGGTGGGGGGGAAAGGATTTTCAATTAGTATCAAGTGGGTGAACATGGGACAATGAGTTGTTGAGATTTTTTTTAATTAAAACTTCTTCAGTAAGGCTCTTTATGTCATTTTATGAGACACATATATATTAATATATATGTAGAAAATGTCACGTTTTGTATAATATGTATACATTTACATATACACATATGTATTCAGAAGCATAGATATCTAGATATATAGTCTGTATTTTACTCATGGATAATCTCAGGCAGTGAAAATAGCAGTTTTCTAAAATCTCTCCACATTTTTAGTCCAAGTTCATTCCCAAATCTGATCCACCAAAACACTACAAAGAAATCAGTTTTATGTGAAAGATGTCTGTCCTACTGTACAATACTGGCGATATTGTTGTGCTAATTCTTCGATCCTAAAATCCAAGTGTCAGAGGCATGAAAACAAAGCCAGTTATAGCAAGAGTTCCTTTGGCCAGTGTTAAAAGCAACCAATATAAAACTGCAACTTGAAAGCTTTTAAACCACCTTTCTGAAATAGAGTATATGTCAACTGACTCATTTTATTAAGCGTTCCCAGTTCACACCAGATGCAGCAAGATGAGCAGCTGGTCCTTCAGTTCTAAAGTCTAAGCTAGAAACACTCCTTTCTTCCCACTCAAAATCATTAAGTTAAAAGAGAAAATTAAAATAATCCATTAACAAAGGCAACCAACAAGATAAAAGCCAGAACAGACTAAAGAGTTCTGAATACAACCTAGTTTAGATTAAAGGCCAATGAAATATGGAACCCAGCCTCATATAGATTTACCTGGTTTAGTGAAATGTCAGTGTAATAGACTAGAGTTGGAAAGATAAGCAGGGGGTCGGGAGAGGAATGCTTAACAATGAGAACTTTGTTAGAAAAGTTTTCTATTCTATACATATTTATTAGCTACCATTTACTTAATTTATTGACAAAATCTTGTCCTGGATTCTTGTCTAATGTTGTAAGAGCCTTGTCAATTTATTGTGTTCTAATTAGTCTATATTTTAAAATACACTTTGAGCAAAATAAATCTAAACATACATTGGTTTTTTAACTGAAAAACGCTTCGCCCAGGTTCCCAGCTAACTTTTGTTGCCAGGTACAATGAGGCATAGAAAATGAATGCAGTGGACATTTCCAGATGGTGAATCAGTTTTTTAGTGATAGCCATCAGTGAAATCTCCATAGTACTTCAAAGCCTGTATGGAAAGCACTGGGTGTTTGTATCAGGGAGAATAGATATTAGATCTCATTATTCCTAGTAAAACCACTGGAGAAGCATAAAGGGTGCCTTTTGAGTCAGCCCTAAACAAAGGCAGAAAATCTCTTCTTACGACAACAAATTTGTATTCCATTTATGCAGTAGGATATCAAGTGACCTGGGTAAACTATTGTGCCTGTTTCCCAAAAACATACGCTTCTTTTCCACTTTTGTTGAGGAATTGTTTGGAGGAGACAGGTATATTCCCCATGCAGCATATATTATGGCTTTGAAAACAAAGGATCTTTCTGCAGGATGATGAAGCCCAAACTAGGAATTGCTTGCCTAGTCATTTAAAGCAAATAAAAATAGGGAAGAAGTTTATTACAACATCTACTGTAAAGTACTACAACAGTAAAGAAGCCAAGATAAGCATTGCCCATGTCGTCTAACAGGACAATTGTGTTTAAGAGGGAAAACTACTTTAACCGATTAAGAATATTATTCTGCCCTGAAATTAAACCTATTGAAGGGCACTGATTCCTTTGCAATGTAGTTGCATCAGAAAATACACTGGGGTCAAAGTAAGTATGTTTTCTCTTAGTTCATAAACCTGTAAATCCAACAGTCAAGAGCACTGACACACCTGCTTCTGCTCCAGCTCCAACCAAAGGATCAGAGATCTCTTAAGGTTTCTTTTCTGGTCCCTTGGATGCTGGTATGTTTCATCAAGAAAATAGTATATGTCAGCAGGTTTCTATTCCTGCTCATACCTTAACAACAATACCCTTTTCAGTTCCAGTTGCTTACTCTTGTACAATACCCATCACAGCTACTATGAGTAAGTAGCTACTATGAACAGCTACGGAACTGTATATGGGATACAGAAACATTAATGCAATCAATAAAGTGGGAGACAGGAGACGAAGAGAAGTCTGGATCATTTTTTCTGTTTTATCTACTAACTTTTTACAATCCAGGCTGGGTCCTTGGACTTGACAGTGAAACACTGTCTTATCGACATCCCACAGTCTTTTCCCTTGAAAACAGTATCTACTTGATGCAAAAATGCAGACAGTAATAGAATAATCAGTATCCACATGCAATAATCAGCAGGCATCAGGCATTACTGCATTTCTGTATTAAACCAGATATTATGTGTAGCTGTCCACATTTGCTGTCCATAATGCTTACACTAATGTTGCTCAGATCATGGATAGAATTAATGTAGTTAGATGATCTCTTTCCCCCCTTTTCCATATCTTCTAGATTTGTTCATGGCATTTTTAACACCTTTAGCTTCTGGAAGTCCTTGCTACTAGGAGTTATTTTTTACACCAAGGTCCGAACTTCCTAACGCATCCTACGATTTTTGATGGACATCAGAAGGAATTTTTTTTTTTAATTACTGAACATGTTTTTAAATTTTGGCCTGATTATAGATATGGTGTATGCAGCATTGTTGTCTGAGGTTTTTCAGACATTATCGTTAACATCTGGCACAGCCACAGAAGTAGTCTTCTGTTCTACACACACACACACTTTTCTCTGGAACTTCAGCAGTGGCAGGATTCACTGACGTCCTCATCATTCCTGCTATAAAATCTTGCTCTAAAGAAACAGAAGTTAGACAAATTAATAGTAGGTTAGATATCTTAGATTTAACTATTTTCATACAATCTGATTAATTACAGTTACTGTGTTCTATGAGCTTTAGGTGACAAAGCCTTTAGGTACTGATAAAATGTTTCATTATGTTAATTTTCATAGCTAGAAGAAGTTGAACAATTTTCAGGTATATAAACCTGATAAGCTTAGTGTTCATGTTTAAAAGCCAGATCACTTAAAACAGCATATTTAACATTTCCAACTATGCTACATCTTCGGTTATGATCTATACCATATACTAATTCATGATTCATACCATGTCTCAACACAGTAGAAATGTATCACTGCATGCTGCTACACTCCACTGTTTTAATAATAGTACTGGGAGCAAGTTTATTTAAATCAAGACCAGTGACTTAAGTCAATAACTGAAATCATATTTATGTAAATTATTGATTAGATTTTATTTTTTAACATAACCTGTATCAAGTGTGATAGCCATAGCAAAAATCTACTCAGATCTCGATTTCCTTATTCTCCAAGTATGAAAACTCAAAATCTGAAAACTTCAGAATCTTGAAAGCTGGTTAACAACATTTAAAAATATTTACAGATAATGATTACTATATTTCCTTGGAAAATATAATACTTTGAAATGTCAAGAAAACAGCAACAGCCTTGTAAAAATCTAGTAACTCTAATTACCATTTTTAGCCTCTCTCAGTTAGGCATGAAAAAATGATGATTTTTTTTTTTTTTTTTTTTAACCACACAGTAGTCCCTGGACATAACCATACAACACAGCATCTTCTGCCTCTTCCTTGACACTTCTTGTAGTTATCCAGTCCCATGTTTTATTTGCTCCTTCTAAGTACCTGGGGTTGGAAAGCTTACGCCCTCAGCTCCAGTCTCTACTTTGAGACCTAACATGTTCTTTTTTCTTTCTTAGCAGGAAGAAAGAAGTACAGGAGCAGCAGTTGAAAATCTCTTTTCTCACTCTGGCTGCTCTTACCAGCAAGTGGTCGCCCGATCAGGGCTAACATGACAGGAATAATCTGCAAAGAAGACAGGTCTTATTAAAGTTACGGCCACCCACTTTGTTCCCTTACTGTATCTGGCTTCCCACACATTTTGCCTGTCAATCCGTTATTGTGCTAACAGGAATAAATAAGAAGCAAACATGAAGTGGCAGACATAACATTTCCCTTTCACCACAGGAGTCATAAAAATTGAATTTGCAGAGGTGGAACCAACAGAAGATCCCTATTATTAAGTTTGCAATTGATTTTTACAGGGACTGCAATGGGAGGCTGAAATTCAGCTCTCCCTTGAAAGCTTACCATAGGTTTGTCCTGAGGCACTGGTCACCATTTGTGGTTTTTTATGAGGTGCAAAGGGACATTTTTCTGCTGCTTTTAGTTTCCCTGGTTACTTCTTGAATTTAAGTTTTTATGGTTCGTGGCATCACGTTACACAAACACAAGCTATTATTGATGCGCCACAGCCTTATGCCTCTGAGAACAATAAATAGAAAGAAAAGACCCTTTTGATGTAGCAGTTGCTGAAAATTCCTCCTGAGGTCACTCATCTGAAGAATAGCTTTCCATTTACAGCAAAGAAAGACTTGTCAAGGGATATTTTTAATGCCTTGTATAGTTTCTATGTAAATATTAATTGGTGGATCCTACACAAGTGAGTGCGGCACTAACTTTTCACTTGCTAATATTGAGTAATCTGGTGTGTCACCACCATTTTCAGAGACTTCTAGAAATTCACACACACTGGGTTCAGTACCTTTTTCCCCACCTATATCACAACAATATTGCAGACTTCCAACAATTTTCACAATGAGGCTCTGAAAAGTAGAATTTGTAGCAGGCATTAACATCTGGATTTTCTCAAAGTAATTGCATGTAAATGGACCAGGGGGAGAGTAACTGCAGAGCTGCATACCCTGTTTCAGGGGTGAGAGCAAGCATTCAGCCTAGGTACTTGAAATGAGCATTCAGTAATCAGCAGCAGTCTCCATACCTCCGGCTGTAGATTTAAAAAGAAGCATTTAAGTAGTATGTCTGGCCTTCTGTATACTTACACGATGCATATGTGTGTATAACGATGTATATATGTAAATATATACCCATGCACTTATAAAAGTCTGTGAAGCCTGCATGACCAACCACCCCAGCAAAACTGACATCCCACTTTCAAAGTAGTGTGTGTAGAAAAAAATGTGTTGTCCTATATGCTGTATGGTCTCCGATGTAAAACTCAGTAGTTAAAATATCTAATCAACACCCGGGATATGGTATAGAGATGGCAAGTAGTAAGGGCCTGTAAGGTTGACCTTGCAAAAAGAGCTATCGAGGTGGGATGCAGGTGATGGAGGACGACTTCATCCACGATGAGTAGCACCTCTTCACTGTTTCTGGCTCTAAGGGCAGAGATGTGAAGGACTGTGGGTGGCTTCAGAACACACAATCCCATAGCAACAGCAGTAAGGGGAGTTTTAATGGGAGAAATATTAAGTGCTTTTGATACCTGTTAGTGAAATGATGACAAAAATAGTATTAGGTCATGAGAACCTGTGGAGAACAGTATTATTTATACTCACTTGAAGCAACGAATGAACTGTTTTGTTTCAGCTGCTTGGTTTGTTTCAACTGCGATGATTAAAATAAACAAAATTATAATTGTTAAAACCGTGCATTAGACATCCTTTCAAGCCACAAATGTACACCCCTATTTCTAACATTTCCAAACATGCAGAACTGAGATTACAGATTTAGGTGCCTGACTTTAGATGGTTTTGAAAATTATAAAAGATTCACCCAAGATCACACGAGTAATTTCTGGTGGAGCTTAGATTAGACGCAGGATGATTTGGTATCTTACAGTACCTCACTTCAGCAACTGTTTCACTGGGGTCACAATGTAAAAAAAAACAATTATTTTGAGGGTTTTTTGTTTGTTTGGTTGGTTGGTTGTTTTTTTTGTTAGTTGTAATAATGCAGAGCTACCCTGCCTTCTGTCAGGAGATGAGAAGATACTTGCTACTTGAAAATTGCTAATGAAAGGGGAAGGGGTCTTTAAGAAGTCAAAAAGGACTTTCTCAAACAGATTTCATACTTTAAACAGGATAAATTAGTTAGTAATTTTATTCTGAACCTAGCTTATCCTTCTAACGTCTTGTGCTGAGAGAATATCTTCAATAGATTGTCAAATCATTGCATATAAGTATGCATATCAGATCTTAATAATATCTCCAGTTCAAAACCAGAGATACACATTTTCTTTCCTTAATCATTTAATGGATTTTTCCTAAATAAAAACATACTCTTACCATATTGTTAGAAGACCATGTTTGGGATTTGTTGTTTTGTTTTGCTATTTTTTTTATTTTGAAGGCTACTAATACATGCCTGACCTCAAAATAATATTTCTTTAATTAGAAAATGCTCCTAACTAGAGATGTCAAGCCCCAGTTTCAAATAAGGAATGTCTAGTTAAACAGCCCAAAGAGGAAAATCTCTTAATCCATAACTTTAATCGTATCAGATATTTTATGTAACCAAACATGTACTTAAACCAAGGAATACTTAATAATTTACTTGAAGTGAACCTATAAAGAACAGTATGACTGTCATGTTTTAGCCTCAAGAGTCCTTACTATGAAGAAAAGCAGCACATGCATACAGACACAAAAAGTGTTTTCTTATCTTCCAGTAAATCCCCAAATAAACTGATAAAAAAATAAATAATATGCACTGGGAATTCATGAGATAGTTACTGACACACATGCTTTAATGTTCTGCCATAGCCAGCATAAAGGGTCCTAAATCTTCTGAATAGCTTGGGCTTTCCAACCTCCCCATGGTTTATTTGCTGATAAGAGAGGATACTCTCTGGCTGTAATAAGGACAAGCAACTTCGAGTTGAGAATCAGTGGGTCAATGACAAAGAACATTCTGTGCTTCAAGGATTTTCTGGCCAAATGGGAGTTCTGGTTTAAGAGCAGAAACATTACACAAGCAGTGTCTGCTATCTCATTAAACTTGAAATCTTTGGGTAGGATAAGACAATTTCTTCTCAGAATCCCACAAGAAGAGTCTGAGACCTAGATGTGAGGACAGGTTGTGGTAGGTGACTTTGAAAAAAAACATTGCTATTAATAATATAGTATAATAAATAGTTTTGCAAGGAAAGGTGTAGAGTTACATGGAAACAGAGAACAGCTGAATAGTATTAAATCAACAAGCCAGCCTTGTGACTCCACCAGTCCTGATATTTGTGAACTCATGTATCCTGGAGAAAACCTAGCGTGTTCTTCCCTTGCGTTCCCAGGATTTGGGGCCCAGGCATCACCTCCCATCCCTACCCCATTCACTTCCACCCCCTCATTGTAAGGCTAGAGTACGTTTCACTGACAGGCAGGGCAAGGATCGTGTTCCTTTTCACCCTCAGATTGCACCATGACTTCCAAGGGCTTATTTAGATCTGTCCTTGGCTGTTCTCAGCAACAAGATGAGTTGCTCTGACCCTTTATGGACCTTAAACCCTGTTTTTTTACAAAGAAACAATAGCTTACACCCTATTCTAGGTATAGCTGAGAGACTACGGACAAATGAATGGCAAATATCTGCTTGAGAAGAGACAAGAATAATCAAACCAAATAATTTTCCTTTCATCAGCAACAGGCATTTCAGTAGAATAACTGAATAGCAGTAGCAGATATTTTAAATACCTTTTTGACTGGGACAAGGGTTTACATATGCTTTCCCTGACAAATTAATTCAGATTAATTAATTCATGGCCATATCTTAATTTGTCCCAAGTTTGAATGACTTCACATTAAAGTCACACACAAGTGAATATAATTGACTGTGTCCACACACGCTACTTTCAATTATCTCATCACTGGGACTTGGCAGCTCAAATCTGTGGTCCTTGGGGCTACACAGAACTGAGCCTCTCTCAGAGCCTTTCCTGGGGACTTGTAGGAAGACTCTCCTACCCCTTCAAGTCCAGAGGGGAAAAGAACAGTGGTTTAACCTGTGTCCTCCTTGAAAAGCAGCCAGCTCACTAGATTGAGCAACAGTATTTCTTGGCTTCTACCTTTTACCTCAGGCTACATGAGAAACTCCAAATATAAAACATAACCGTGATCACGTGAGTGGTTTAAATGCATGGACAACAACTGGGTTAAAGAAAAATCTGGACAAGAGTTTTTTCACAGCACACATAGGAATAATTAGCTTGTCAGGGTCACCAAGCAACATGAGCATTGGTATCCTCAGGATGTTTCTTTAAACATGATCGGATGTTTCTTTAAACATGATCTAATGCATTTTCCATTGGAGCTGTTTGCTGAAATTCAAGGAAGATACATGAATTGAACATGTCAGCTCAACGGGGGTTTGAGAAACCTCAGATGAAATCTGTAGATAGTTGCTTCTCAAAATCCCTGAAGGTCCAGGTCTGTGTCCCTTCCCTGCCACTAGCATTTTGTTGCACATGAACCCCCTTGGGTTATAGTCAATATGTTACAAAGTTTTATTGATGCCTATGCATAAAGAACTGAATCATGAATTAAAAGGGCTATTGCATAGAAAATAAAAAATACCCACTGTGAATTGCCAGCAACTTCAATGCCCCTTCATCCTGGATCATTGCAAAAAGTAATTTATAGGTTTAATCCTCAAAACTGTACTGAAAGCCACTTTAGAACAGAAGAAAAGCACAATTAGTTAACAAATAGATTTTCCAAAGCACTAACTGAATTTAAATGCCCATCTCTCCATAACTTGGCATCATTGAAGTGTCTCACTAGTGCAGTACGCATGGATATATTGTGATGGCTTCTGCAGACAGTATTTCATTCAAAATGTCCAGAAAGAATTTCAAGGTTTACTTTCTTAAATATACACTGAAAGAAGGGGGGGGGGGTTGTGCTTTTTTCCCCCTTTAAATATTTATCATTTCTGTAATTCTGTAATTCAAACACATAGCATCTGAAAAAAAGTCTAAAGGTCATCGATGAGACACTGTCACCCCCCCCACACTTTTGCTAGATTTGTTTGGATTTACTAGTGAGGCACTGTCTAGTCAGGAAACAGCAGACACCAATTAAATCAGTTTTAAAACTGATATGGCAAAAGCTTGAACTCCTATTTACATAGGAAGCAGCTGCATTGGGTCAACGTGTTGTTGATCTTTGTTATTTGTTAACACTGTTCTGGGGAAGTCACTGCTTTCACAATAGTGCCTGTGCAGTGGTGTGTGGGAACATTTCTCAGATGCTTCAGTGGAACCTCTAGTAGTTTAACTTGCCCTACAAGATGCACACAAAGAGACAGAATTTCCTTGAACTGTCTAAGGAGAGTGCGTGCATTCTGGCCAGTACATGTAGTGGGGAAATCCTGCACAGAAGGGTCAACAGCATCGTAAAACACTGCAGCTGTCTGTGAAACAATCCTATAGTTAAGCCTTAAAAGCAAACAATAAAACAACAAAAAAACCCAAACAAATTCGCCCCCCAATAATCCCCAAAGCCTACGAAGCCTTATTTCAGCAATTTGAAGGTGCGACCTTAAAATAAATCATTGCTAACTTTAGATAAAACAAAACAAATTGCCACTAAACTGGGACAGCATGAGATTAGCATACATTTAATCACATTGGTCTTGAGATTGTTTCCCCAGTTCAGTTTAAATCAGCGTCAAAAAGACAAGGCCCAAAGTGCTATAAATTTACAGAAAAAAGAAAAAGAAATGCACATTTGTCATAAAAAGCATATTGTTGGGCTTCATCTGCACATAATCCTGTACCAGGTGAACTGAAAGTGTATTTTTAGATTTATTTTGTTAGCTGTGGTATTGTAACCGTAAATCTATGACCTGCATCTCATTTATTCTAATGGTTTTTTGCACTACTTTGGCAATAAATAGCAGTCACAGCAGAAACAGGAAGCAAGCATAATTGAAGTCAGTGGAATACCTCATATGCTTACAGCACTTCAGCACCTTTGAGGGCTGGATAAAAGTGCAAAGTGACATAGGCCAGAGCACCACTGTACTACATACTGTGTACATGGTCCTGGCCTGGTGTAGCTTAAAAGAGAAGAAACGTAAGATGGCTACAGCTGAAATGGGGAGCACCAGGAAACAGTACCAGATGAGAAACTGCGCTCTCTGCTCAATCCAGCTAAGTAACTAATGGAAAAGGGGATGGAGGAAGAGAGAAATGTGACAAAGTATAATATACAGGGCATATAAATCCTTCCACATTTGAAGGACAGGCCAGAGAAATCACATGCTCATCTGTGCTCAGACTCACACAACTCAAACATCTTTAAGTAAGCTTGGACACCTTTCTGTTCAGCTCAGTAGAGACCAGTTGCAAGAGGGGGGAAGGCAACGCTACACGGGACTCTGCAAGGCAGCAGCTGTGGCTCAGCAGCCCTTGTGCTCACTGTAGCAAAAGAAAATCGATTTCTATAGTCCCAACTTTATACATGGGCCATGAGCACCTGGGAATCAGTATCTGTCCAGAGTGTTGTAAAACAGTAGAATAAAAATGCAATTTTATCAGTAGGAAATATTTACGGTCATTGAATGTTAAAAATGTCTTCAGACAGGGCTA